ATAAAATTACAAATTGTATATATAAAAATGTATATCGCAAAGTAAAAAAAACTGTTATAAAGTTTAAAATTTATGAATATTAAAAAAACGATTAAAATTACACATCGAATTACACGTCGAAATATAAAATAAAAAGTACTTGATAATTAGTGATCTATTTGAGAGCAACATTTGATAAATGGAAAATTGAGATAGCCTTCTTTAGGAAGAAAATCGGCAGCTGGTAACCTGTTGTAAAATCAATGTAATTACTTGTAATCATGATTAAAGGAAATTAAAAAATTCGTTACTTTTTAGACCGTGCTGAATAATTTAAAAATATATAACGCCATTAAATCAATACAAGTTACAGTTAGCACTGTAACGACAAGTAGTGTAATAATTAAGCTATGCATGGTGGATTTTGTAACAATTGTTGGGCAACATATAAACCTGACTTTCTGTTTCCAACAAAAAAAAATGAGGATTGAAATGAATTCAGATTTTCAGAAATATTGATTCCCGAATGTGAAAATGAATGTTTTTCAATCCTGAATGCATTTTCCTGAAATTTCCTTTCATTTACAGGAATTGCATGGAGCATACCTCTATGCCTTTCAATCTAAAAATAATATTAGCTTTTTCTGCGCACACAAACACACAATTGTGAATACTGTTCAATTCAAAATTTTGAATAGGAAATGCAGTTTTTCAATCCAATTGCATCCAATTGAATTCAATTAAATCTAAAAAAAAGTATTTCCTATTTAAAATACGCATTCAGATAGAAAAAAATTTCAATCCATTTTAATCCATTCTCGTTTGCTTGATTACTTGATCATACAAAAATCTCTCACTCAATCATCTACACAAGATACAGTCATTTATCACAAAAGTGTCGCAATCACTTAATCAAATTTATTCTTTAGTCTTGATTATAATCAGAAGTAAATTCTAATAATTGTTGAAAGTAAACCTATTGGGTAGACTCGTACTGTAAAAAAATAAAAAGATTATATATATATATATATATATATATATATATATATATATATATATATATATATGTATATATAAGATTGTAATTTATTGCTCTCATTTATCTTAAAAAGATTGTACAAATACAAATTTAAATAAATAGTAGCTATGTTTTGATATACACTGCCAATATTGAAAATCTATAATTATACATAATATTAACTATAGATTTTTGAAAATCTGTAGCTTTTGTTATGTATAATTATACAGCGTTTTCTTTTAGCTGCACTATCGTGTAACCACTAGTGCAACATTCAATGGAAAGCAACTATGTCTCTAGCTTGCGAACGTTGTGAGTGCCAAATGAAACGCACTTCATGATTTAAATTAAACAGCCAGCTGAGCCAGCGTATAGCGCAAATTTCATAGTGTCACGTGAGACACCATGGAGTTGCGCAATGCTGCAATTCACCGATGCTACGTCACACTCCGTAATCAACACGGCGTGAGCTAACCTATCCATGAGTCTATCCCTTGCATTTACAACGTGTCGATTTAAAGGAGAAATTAGTCCCCGTAGAACGCAACATGTCGGCAATCAGCACGTGAATCTATTCGTCCGATTGAGAAACGTTAATCCACATCAAGCTGCAAAGATGTTCATCGATCCGTCATCGCGTCTCGTAGCACAAACTTGATATCTATTTCGAGTCATACGCAATGCGTTAATCGTTTATTTATAAACGTTGTTGTGCCGTTTTTCCAGCCGATGTTTACTTAGATCTTCACACACTCGCATAATTGTAAAATGTGTTAAGCCTCTTCTCTCTCTTTCTCTCATTCCTTCTCTCATTTTCGTCGTGTATAAATTATGGACGAAGTTTGGTTTCACCTCTCGAATCAGCTCGAAACGTTGCAGGTAATTGGATTTACCTCTGATTTTTACGCGCTTCGACAATCGTGCTTTATATATAATATTTAAAAACTTTTCAGTTAATTTAAGAGTTGTAATTTTACAGATTTGAAATCTCAAAACATTTTGTAAATATTATGTTGCCTTCATTTTTAAACTTCGCGTTGTAAATTTGTGTTACTTAAATTACATAAGTTTTTTAATTAGAGGATAAATTTTAATATATTGTATGTCAATTTTATATATAAATTATGCAGTTCAATATTATATAATATTTTGGTGTCAAATTTAATGCACATCTGTAAATCATTTGGCATAAAATCATAGAAGATTATTCATAGAAGATTATTCATGGAAAAAACTCAATATAAAACTCAATATAAAACTCAATATAAAACTACACAAAAAAATTTGGGGGAAGGTTCAAGCATCAGTAGCAGTGCAACAAGGACAGCAATGGTGTGTGACATGGCTAGCTCAGTTACGACAATTTATCCTGCAGCTTTGCGACGAACAACATGCTCAGTATGCCAAAGACATTGCATCCCACATGGCTGTTTCTATACAAAGAGGATGGCAAGAGGTTCAATTTCAGTATTACAATACTCAATGGAATTCAATAGATTTTTATCGCCAAATAAGAATTTTATGTGCTAATAAAGGTACATTGAATATTCAAATATATTTTGATAAATTTTGTATGTACTAAAATTGATTTTATTAAACATAAGGCTGTTTATATTCTGTCCAGTGTCAAGGAGAGAAGCAATATTTTGCTTAACAGGCTTAGTGATTGGAACTGTAACAGGCTACTATGTTGGCGTAAATTGGAAACCTA